AAATCATTTCACTACTTCTTTGCTACTACTAAAACCGTATAGCGAGAAGGAAAAATGCTCTTGTGGTCAATACATTATACCCTAGAATGCGCAGGAAACCAAAAAAAGCGGTCCGCCCTGAAAGACCCCCGAGTTGGCACAAATTAACAAAGCAGGGCAACATGAAACCACATCTTACAATGAAAGATACAAAATTCAGAGATCTCAGAGACGTTCAATCGTTTCATACTGCAGAGCTCGTCGTTGTTGATATTCAAATGCACGACAATGCTCGAATTTCGCCCCTCCCACAAAATTCTTCGGATCGAGCGGTTCACATTCACCGGAGCAAGTCCTCGAGATTAGCAGAGGAAGGAATGTGTTCGAATGTCAATAGGCCCGATGACAGATGAAGAAGCACCGTATGGCTGCGATCATCACATATTCCATCATAGCGTAGATCCTTGGCACTGCAACACGGTTTCTATAAGGCTTGCTGTGCATGTCACAAAGCTCATGCAAAGAGCCCAGGATCACTTTTGTCATCTACTAGCGCCGCGGGAAGCACCGAAAAGGAGGAAAAAACATGTTAATATTGCAACTCACCAGGGAAGGCATTGAACTCCCCGTGGAACTTTGAATCGAGACCTAGACATATCGATAGAGCCTGGGACACTGGTTAGAACTGCGGAACCCAAAATTGCAAAACGATTCTGCCAAGGAAGTTACGAGCAGTCGAAGTTGGCTGCAAATGAGTGCTTTTGGATGAGGCTCGCTAGTGTCAGAGAAACTGTGTTGCCGTGGTGTAGTGGTAAGGCTCTCGCTCATCATCATGCAGGTCATGGGTTCGGTTCCCGCTGCGGTGAGTTTTTGCAAATCATGTTTCGTACCCAGTAGAGACTTCTATTCTAGTTTTTGACATTTATTTGAATAAGCACCTAATCACAGCTATGCTAATACCATTGACGTTTGTTGTGTGTGTTGAGATGAAGTAACTTCGTGCACAGATTCTTCTACACCTCAGCGTTCAGTCAGAAGAAGAGAACTAACTTCATCATCTACCACTAGCACTCTACCTCTTCCACTCTCTGGCTTGTCTTGCCTTGCCTGAACGGAGCTGTGTTCATCCTCGTCATCGCAATAATCCCTGTCCGATTCGTTGGGACGTCCGATTCCAGGCTTTCACCCATATCAACATCGACTCCAGCGAGGATGCCATCACGAAGTATAAAAGCAAACCTCGCGGCAATCTTCCTCTCTTCGCGAGTTGCAGGACTGTTGTCTTCTTGCTCCGAATTCGGCGAAAAGTATCCAAACTACCTTCGCGGGAGAATACAGCATTATCAATGAAGATATTCATCAGGAACATAGCGACAACTATATCTGTCACTCGGTCTTCACGTTCTGACAAGGTGCTCACTCAGATATATCAAAAACTATAGTAGAAATCTGTATTGGTACTGCATTGAGAACCGAACCCATGGCCAGCATGACTATGAGCGAGAACCTTACCACTATTCCACGGCAACACAGTTTTTTGAAACTAGCGAGCCTCATCCAGAAGCTCATTTGCAGCCAACTTCGACTGCTCGTAACTTCCTTGGCAGAATCGTTTTGCAATTTTGGGTTCCGCAGTTCTAACCGGTGTCCCAGGCTCTATCGATATGTCTAGAAGTTCTACGGGGACTCAAAGTTCCACGGGGAGTTCAGCACTTCCCTCGTCAGCACACAATCTCGCCTATCCGGAAGGGTAACCACCTAATTTACTTGCTGCTGTGTTTGGCTAGGACTCCAATTTCTTCGAAACCTATTTCTGAGCCTCTCGATCTTCCACGCGCCAAGCAACATGCAAGATTAGCCGAAAGATAGTTGAATGCATGCTTTCAATCCGTGGTGCACCAGTGGTTACCTCTACTCAGGCTTCCCTCTTTTTATTTGAAGACGATCCACACTCCAGCGACCCCGCGACTGGCACGGTGCCACTGAGAAGAAATCTGAACAAACTGGTCGTTATTTGTCAGCTTGCTTCTAATGCGATAAAGTGACCGTCATGAAACCAGCTCCAGAGCGTAACGATTGAAAATACGATGTTTGTATTTCAAGCGATCTGAGTCTGAATCAGCTCCAAACGCGATCTGACATCATGATGTTCGTGATGGTTTCCCTAACTCCTTTTAATAACCATCTAGCTCTCACCGTTGATG